CTCTAGAGCAAAATCAGACTCATGTTCTGAATAAAAAATATAAAGCAGCGAACTTCTAACAAGCCACTTGTTTCAATTCCAGGGGAAAGTTGATTAATATATTTTTTTAAGTTCCTAGAAAATTGCCTTTTTAAAATGTGCTTGTTCTCCACAGTGACTCTCAGCCTAGCTTTGGGATCATGCATGTGTTGTTTTGCAATGATTTCCATTAAGAGTAACAAGAATGGCTTTCTTTTTTTTTTTTTTTTTTTGCCCCCCAGACAACCAGCTCAGATTGCCTTGTGATCGGATAGCTGAGTTGGGGTCTGTCTGGCTCCTAGGTTATTGGTGTGATCCAGAGCTAAGTGAAATCAAGGAGAGTCTTCCCTGCTATGCACAGAGCCAGGTGCAATAGGGATGGTGAAACGCCGGCCACCCATTTCCTGCCTGCAGTCTCACCCTGGACCATTGCAGAGACTCTTTATAAGATCATAAACATCCTCCTTAGTCTAGTCTAACTGCACAAAGCTTGACCTTCCCTTCTGAAGACAGGCTTGTTGCAAAGCTTCATAGGTCAGAACACGCCCGCTCCTTTAATTGATGAGTCCCCAAAATGCTCTTGGATGAGAGAGGGTGTAGGTTGTAGCTGTGTTGGTCTAAGGGCATAGGCAGGTGAGGTTCTTTGGGTAAATCCGATATCTTTTATCTAATTTGAGTTGGTCTAATAAAAGATACCGGATTTACCCAACGAATCTTGTCTTGGATGAGAGATGCTTCCATAAAGGTTGACTGTGTCTTTGGACATTGATGTTGTCATGATGGACCTAGCATGTAGATGACACCACGATGGGATGAGGCACTAACAGAGCGGTCAGGGTAGTTGTTAGAGTGCAGTTGCCCCTCAAATGGACACAGACTAAGCTTTTCTTGTTTGGAAATCTCGAGACAGTTCCTTCGGGGTAGCACATGCCTCTCCTGAGTTGATCTCGGGAAGGATGAAACCTTGGAAAAGCCTGTTGCAGCATTAGCTGTTCAGTTGGCGGGACAAAACTTTAGGACATGATTAGATTGCCACGTTCCCCAAACGTGGAGCAAATGACCAGAGAAGCTAACGACATCCTAAAATAGAAGCTAACCTTGATATCAGGGTGGTGGAGCATCATTTGTGTCCCAGTAGTTGTGTGGTGTCTCTTACTCTAGATGAGCAGAAGACTATTCGGCTGGCTTGATAGCAGTGCTCCATTGAAATTTCCCCAAGCTCCTCTTGAATCGATGCTCCCACTAAAACCAGGCCATTTGATTGCTTCCCTTCCCTTCCAGCTGTGAACAGCCAGCTGCTTCCTGGGTGCAAACCATGTTTACAGGTGTGCGGCAGCCAGTCCTTTCCAAGCAGAAGAAGGTCTTAGGAGGATGCTGAGCTTATCCAATTAAACGTGTTCTGTTTACATCTTGAAATTCAAAGTAGAGGTCGGAGTGAGGCCAGGTTTATGCTCAGTAGTTACTACCACAATTCGTTAAAAAAGGAAGGAAAAAAAAGAACAAAACCACCAAAATGGTAGAAGGTGGGGTTAATGAGCTCCTTTTGGTCCCCATCGTGGAAAAGAAAGCATTCGACCTTCCTGCACAACATCTCCCACACCTAGCTGAACTACCTGCGTCTTTGGGTAGTTTATGCCATGGGTGAATCCTACAGGGGACCTAGTGAGGTTTGTGTATGAACATTAAAGAGCTCCTGGAAGTCATGGTCTCTGAAGATCCCTGTACGAGTCGCTTGCCCCTTCTGACATATCGCATAAGGCTGAGACCGTCAAACTCTCCCTACCAATTTCAAGCATTCAGTTCCACTGGGTCACCTTAAATCGGCATTGAAAATATCAGCCCTAAAGTAGACCTTGGGCCAAGATGAGACGGGGCATTAGCAGAGGGATTCCACCAAAGAGTCTATCTCAGTCCTAAGTCTCTTATTTTTATAAAGAAAACTCGGGGATAGGCTGATGCAAACCCCTGTATTAGTGCGGGCTGAAGTGAGACCACCAGGCTTGCCAAGCTGGAGCTCGCTGCATATTTTTATGGTGTTCATGATGGATATGCTGCAATTTAACAATTTTAGGGTGGAGGAATCCAGTTTGCGCTTCTGGGCAGCAAAACCTTGAGCTTTCCAAGGCTGCTTTTCAAATATGCAGGTAGCTCTGAGCTGTCTCCAGTCGTTCCTAGTAGGCTTTGTGATGGCACAACCATCCACGTCCAAGCAGCTTACAACAGACTCACTTTGCACCCCGGAAAAGGAAGAGCGCCTTTAGGAGAGGGTAGTGATACCTTGGGCTCGCACTCAAATGACTCCTGGTCTCGACTGGCGGGTTTGTCCGCTTGTGATCGCTCCATTTCGGTATCCTTGGGCCTGTGGGGTGATGAGCAGCTTTGGGACTGAGGACAAAGGGGATCACCTTGGACACCAGACATCGCTCTTGTAAATCGTGAACAACTGAGTGCAAACAAAACCATCCTGAATAACTGATGATGTTTTTATTAAAAACTCAGGACTTTTTTTTGGCCAATCTCCCGATTTGTGGCGCAGGGGTAGGTGAATGTATGATTTTGCAAGTCTTGGGTTTTGCAAGACAGAGAGAGAGGCTGAGGAAGGTGTAGTTGAGCATGATGGAGCGGAAAGAGAGAAAAACAGCTGAAGAAACACCCCTTTGCCAGCCAGCCCCTGCACAGCGAGCGCTCCAGCCCCGACACCCCCAGCTGCAGCCTGGCGCCAGTGACCACGTCTCCCCCCACTCCTACCTTGAACTAATAACGAAGGCTCCCAGCTCGTGACTTATCTGCTTCCCTTTGTTGCCTTGGAACCTGTGCAAACAAACTGTGCTGCTCTTGATAATGAAGGAGGTGACATGACTAATTCACCTCCCTCTCTGGGGTGGGGAAATAATAGGATGGAATTGATTTGTCCTCTCCGCTGGCGGTGGCTTCGGGCTGTGGGCTGCTTTTTGACCTCAAGTGGGTTGCTAATTGGTAGTTCAGCTGGCTAACTTTAGTTCACTGTAGCGCTGGAGATGAATGAGGTGGACCTTAGTGTGTTGATGTAGATGTGGGTCCTGGTAAGACGGCCAGCATTTGGGCCCTGTTGCTGAATGAGAGCTAGGAATGGATGGCGCTTCTGGTAGGAGCAGCTGAATGGGGAAGGGCGAGAGAGCCGGGCTCATAAAACTCCATCGAGTCAGCCCTCCGCCTGACAAACTCCCTCCTAAATAATCCTCGCGGAGCTCCTGCGCAACCAGTAACACGTTATAATTTAGGAGGCAGGTCTGGTGATGGAGGGGAGGAGAGCACCGAGGCAGGCTGAAGTGAAGTTGGAGGCAGGAAGTGATTCGTTATTCCTCCGTCACGCTCCCGCCGAGGGATAAGGAGCAGATCTATGCGGGTGCAGGTTTACAGTAGCCCAGGCTCTGACAGGAGGACATATGTCACCCACTGCCCGCGCCCGGGCTGACAGAGTAGCTGCTGCTTGAGGAGGCTTTAATGAGGCAGTTGCATCTCCCCCCCCCCAGCTACTTCGCCCCGTTATGCAGTGGTCAGGAGGTTAATGAGCTAATTTGTGGCCTTTGCATGTGCCTATTGATCAGACCCCAAGCCACAGCAGACGGCTGCATTGTGCAACACGGTTACGGTGCATGGTGCTTCAGATGAAATGCGACTGGTGCCCGTGTTCCTGGTGGGCATTGGCATGGCTCGGCAGGGCTGTGTGAATCCAGCTGCAGGGCCAGTCTCATGCTGTCTGTTGGGGGGAGGAAACTCCCAGTCCGTAGCCACTTTGGGGCCTGGGGAGTCTCTGTGCATCCAGGAAGCCGAGATGAGTTGGCTTCCAGGGAGTTTATGGGAAACATAGGCAGGGTAATGCCCCGCAAAGGGTGCACTAGGAGGGGTCCCCGATTTGCATGAGCAGCTGTGACCCTGCCTGACAGCTTCCAGTTTCAAGTTGACTCTTAGTCCCGACCGTCACAGAGCTGCTATTAGTGTGCTACCAACACCTCAGGTGCAGGTGGACCTGCAACACCGGGCCTGTGCTGGTCTAGCCCATCTCACATGGGGGAGGTTGTGGTTTACTGCATTGGTGCAAAGGGTCTCTGCCAGTAAAGCCACATTCCCACCCAGATCACCTTGCTTGCACAGCACACCTGTATTCTTGCATGGGTAAACTGTTCCTAGTCTCGGCGTGGCCAGATACAGCATGGCCAGAGACAGGTCGGGGACTTAGCACACCTCGCAGATCCAAAGTGCAGAGCAGCATCTCAAGTGGTGCTGCTGTAACACGAGCACCATTTAACCTGTCGCTTGGGGATTTGGCCAGCAGTCTGCCCGGTGGGGTTTTGACAAGTGATGGAGGGCTGGGAATCACGCTTGCGCTGCCTTCTTTCCCGCGTGGCAGCCCTTCTCTTCAGAGCAGCCTGCTTGGGAAAGTTTTACCAGCAATTCTCTTGCATGTGCTTGATTCAGTCGTGGAGCAAAACACCAGCTCGTGTAAAAATTGAGCCTGAGAGCGATCCAGCCCTCAGCCGGGCCAGGTGGTTTCGGTGCTGATTTGCACCAGGAAAGTTAGCTTCCTTCTGGAAAGCAGAACTTGGTATTTCAAAGTAGAAGATGTGCAGTGCACCTTTGGAGACTTTTCTTTTCAAACCCATTGTGTGCTCCAGAGCCTCTGCCAGGTTGGTGCAAGGAGTCGACGGACTTTAATCCTTGTGCTCCAAGTGCTTTCACTTTTAAAAGTCGACCCCAGAAATTTCTCCGGTTTTTTTTACCCCTCGTGTCAAATGCACAACAACTCGGTTCCCTGAGTGACTTTGCACAGAGGCACCCTGAAAAACGATGGCCATCGGGTTCTTCCATGCTGTCAGTGCTTTCCAGGACCTGACCCCGTGTTTTTCTTTGTCTGATTTTTCAAGAAGTCCCTTGGCTCTGGAAGGTGCCTTGATAGGGCCAAGGCAAAGACTTCAATAGCTGATTTTGTGCTTGTTTTTCAGATTAGCCGGCTCTGCGGCCGTTCTCAGCAGAGGAAGTACAGGTCGGCTGCCTACCCCGAAGACCCTTTCATTGACAAGAAGGTCCTGAAGCTGGCTCGGATTGAGCACGAGGAAACGCTGTCCAGCAGGAGGAGGTGAGGGGGTTGCGACTCCAAAATGTATTTTGTTGCATGATCGTTGTGTGTCTACCTGGCTATGGCATGAATGCCAGTGTATTTTCCTTCTGCATATAAAGCCGTTTCCACATTTGCTGTTAAGGGAGATAAAAGGGGTGGTGGGGGGGAAGGATGGAGAAAAGAATGAGGTGTGATCCAGAGTCTCTTCCCAGTGGAAATGGTGTGGGGTCCTTTGACAGTCAGTGTTCAGGGGAGCTGGCTGAGACCCCCCCCCCCCCC